AATCAGTATTAGAAAAAGCATTTTGTAACACGTGAAGTACTATTCTTTCTTGGTCTTCCTAAATATTTTTTCAAAGGCATGATGATCAAAGAGGCTTTATTTATAAATATATGCAATGGAACTTTTGAGTGTTGAAAATTCAAATTGAAACCGTTGATTTACTCCCTTTGAAAGTCCACGGTCAAATATGTTTTTCTTGTCTTTATCTCTCTGGTCTCTCTTCCTCACTTTTGCCTCTTCGCCAATTTTCTGCAATAAATTTGGTTATTGTATTTTTTATATCATCGTCTTTTGCCACCCCAAGAACCATGCATCATCACATCAGTTCATTGATATTTCCTTCTGAAGATCTGTAAACCCAGTTTCCACTGATCAAAAACAAATTCATGGCTTCTGAAACCCAAGTTTGAGTAAAATCAGGGTCATGTTTCAGACCCAGGTTTCCAAATCAGGAGAAGGAAACAAAAAATCTCTCCTTTGAGATGGTTTTTTATTAGAGTTGGCATCTTTGATTTGATCGTGTGATTTTCAGGTCGTTTCCTATTTGGGTATTGGAATTTAGCAAACCCAGTTTCCATTGATCAAAGACAAATTCATGGGTTCTGAAACCCAAGTTTCCCACGTTGGAGTTTGAGCAAAATCAGTGTAACCTTTCAAACCCAGATTCCCAAATCAGGAGAGGGAAAGACAAATCTCTCCTTTGAGATGGTTTTTGATTAAAGCTGGCATCTTTGATTGGATCTTGTGATTTTCAGGTTGTTTCCTATCTGGGTATTGGAATTTAGCAAGAGTATCTTGGTTTAGTTTACAGGTATGGATAGTTCACAAAGTAGTTCAAATTCACCGCCGCCTTTTCTTCTAAAGACATATGATATGGTAGATGATCCAATTACAAACGCTGTGGTATCATGGAGTCGAAATGGTTGTAGTTTCATTGTCTGGAATCCACCAGAGTTTGCCAAAGACTTGCTGCCCAAGTATTTCAAGCACAATAATTTTTCAAGCTTTGTGAGGCAGCTTAATACTTATGTAAGTCCACCCTTGTTTTCATTTTCAAATTTAACTTCTATTACTCGTTTTTTTTTTTCAGTTCATCAGCTTTATCCTATTGCAATTAGTTTGTTTAAATTTCATTTCTTAGCATATTCTGTTCTATGGATATGTACAAGCTGCCAAATTAACAGTTTCATGTTTGATCCATTGGTAAAACTTCATATTGATTTGTTTCTTATTTGATGCCCTTCCATTTTCTTTCAATATTTTGCTATGTTTCCATGTTAATATGTTTGCTTGCTCATTTGTAAATCTTTCTTACTAAATTGAAGCTTGAACTGTTCTTGATCAGGGATTTAGGAAGAGTGATCCAGATCAATGGGAGTTTTCCAATGAGGATTTCATAAGAGGAGAGAGAGAGCTTCTCAAGAACATTCACCGGCGTAAACCAGTTCATAGTCATTCTACTCAGAACCAGTCTAGTTCTTCTTCATCATTAACAGAAACAGAAAAGCAAGAATTCGAAAGGGAAATCAATAGGTTGAAGCACGACAAGAACTCGCTTCATTTGGAGCTACAAAAGCGTCAACGAGAGACCAAGGACTTCAAGTTACAAAGACAGTTAGCTCATGAGCGCTTGCACAACTTGGAATATAGGCAGAGGCAATTAACATCCTTGTTAACTCAACTTATGCAACAATCACAACTTCATAATAAGAAGAGAAGGTTATTCAAACTTGACGAAGACATAAGTTTGATTGTTCATAAAGAAAACATGGCTCCAATTAATGGTCTAATATTGGATCCAGAAAGGATTGATAAATTGGAATCATCCTTAAAATTATGGGAGAATATTTTGCTTGGAGCTGGCGAGACTCTTGCTGATTATAACACAATTTCTCAGCTTTCGACAGTAACTGTTACGGAATTGCATACATCTTCTGAAGATAATGCATATGGGGAACCTTGCTCGCCAAGTTTCCGTCCCTCCACCCTTCATTTAAAAGAGGTCCATTCTTCTCCGGAGCTCACAAGTTCTACATGCGTTATTGATAGTCCTCCTACATCGCCTATTATAATCAACACTCGGCCAAAATCTTTGGACACTGATGTAAATCCTAATCTCACAAGTGATTCTATAGGAGAGGCTTTAAATCCTCCTGCAACAACCATGGTCAACGATCACTTCTGGGAACAGTTTCTTACCGAGATCCCTCAATTATATGTTGAGCAGGAAATCCAATCTAGAGGTAGCAATTATGGATGAGAGATTGAAATTGCAGGCATTAGTAGTTGGTGTTTCATATAAGAGAGGAAAAATGGTGGATTATTGATATTACTTGTTTGTTAGACAGCTTGTTGTATATATTAATTAAATTAGTGGGTGTAGATTTAGTTAATAATAGACAAATTTTCTTAATTCTATTTTATTATTTGATCGTCTTGATTTATGTTTTCCTCTTCAAAATGCATAAAAGTTTAATTTTTTTTTTGAGTTACAATCATAAAAGTTATTTTTTATAAAGTACACAAAATAAGTATATTTATAGATTCTAAATTGAAAAATAAAATTCATGTAAAAAATACGTATAGTAAAATTAATTTTTTTTTAAAATATAATAAAAAAATAAAAATTTAAACAGAAACAAAAGAAGATAAGAAGAACACATTTTAGATCAGACGACTCTCATCATATCCTCACATAAGAGGTTTACCAGGCCAACAGGGCTCTTGGAATAACAATGGATGTCCTGCGGCATGGAGAACGTACAGTTGGCTAACTAATCAGCAAAATAATTTCTTTCACTAAAAGCATGTTGAATTCTTACATTCTAATCCTTATTTATCCGATCCTTAAATATAATAATTAGATTGAAATTAACAAAAATATGAATTATAGATTTGTATAGCAAATCAACGATCAACTTACGGTTCATCTCAAAAATGACATATCTATAATCCAACTTTTACGCAAGATTTAAACCATTCAGCAGCTCCCCTAAGTTTAGCCTGAAAAATCGAACAAAAGCCATTCTTCCTACAAATTTTATTCACAAACAAATTTACTATATTAGTTGAGTGTTAATTTTTCATTAAAGTTCTAATTAAATATAAAGCAAAATTGTTATGTAAATTATTCTCTAAACTTAACTACATAGGAGTACTTATACTTTTACACTAAGAAATTAATGTTAGTTCTATTAGGATAGTTATAAATCAATATTTGAATTTTTTTAGAGTCATAGTTAAGAATTCATCAAGTTCAATTTATAGTAAATAATTTTTTATTTTATAATTTTTAAAGAATTACCATAAAATAGCAGTAAATTTTTTAGGGAGAGTATTTAAGAAAAAAAAAAAAAAACACTTTTTGTGATTTCCATACATTTTGTGAATCTAAACAATTTTTGTAATTTACGAAAATACTTGTATATTTAGTTGTTACCTACTCCCACTGTACTCTTTTTCTTCTTCTATATATTTTTTGGGGTCAAAGTTGGCAGATTCTCAAACTAAATTAGAAACTGTAGGACAATAATTCAGAGAAAGAGTGCTTAAATTAATTACATAAATATATCTATTGGTTTTCTTCTTCTTCAACCTCTCAATCATACTAGAATTTATCTGAGAAATGAGCTCCTGCAGGGTTCTTCTCTTTTACCTCTTACTTATACACTTTGCATACATTGTTGCAAGTCAACCTTTTGATTACCCAACTGCAAAGCTCTCAACTTTATGGACAAACAGCCTATCTGCCAATCATTCTGTAACCTTCACAGATGGGTCAACGGTGCGGGCCATTCTTCTCAGAGGAAGCTTTGGACCCAAATTTGCTTGTGGGTTCTTCTGCAATGGAGATTGCGAGACTTACCTCTTCGCCATCTTCATTGTTCAAACTAATAGTGGTTCCGGCATCGTGCTTCCCAACTTAGGATTCCCAAGAGTAGTCTGGTCTCCTAACAGAAACAACCCGGTGAGAATAAACTCAACCTTGGAGCTCACTGGAGATGGAGACTTGGTTTTGAGAGATGCTGATGGATCCAAAGTATGGTCCACGGGTACCGCAGGAAAGTCTGTCGGTGGCTTGAACCTCACTGAGATGGGAAATCTAGTGCTGTTTGATGAGAAGAATGGCACAGTCTGGGACTCCTTTGACCACCCAACTGACGTTTTGGTTCCAGGACAGATGTTGATTGAAGGGAAAAACCTAACTGCTAGTGTCTCCTCTACAAATTGGACTGTAGGAGGTATATATTCACTCTCTGTCACTTGGGAAGGCTTGTTTGCTCTTTTCATTGAGGCTGATCCTCCACTAGCTTATTTTGAGAACAAAGTTAGTGGCAACAAAACGAGTAAGGAACCAAGTTATGCCAAGTTTCTAAATGGAAGCTTAGCTTTGTTCATACTTTCCTCTGAACCAAACGATTCAGATGACGCAATTTCTGTTCCCCCGGCCTCATCTTTACAGTATATGAAGCTAGAATCTGATGGCCACTTGAGGGTTTACGAATGGATATCATCATCAGGGTGGACCCAAGTTGCAGATCTCTTGACTGGGTTTCTTGGTGATTGTAGCTATCCTTCTGTTTGTGGAAAATATGGTTTGTGTACAAATGGGCAATGTGGCTGTCCTGCACCCATCAATGGAGGAACAACCTATTTTTCACAAATAGATTTCAAGCAGCCTACACTTGGGTGTTCTGAGGTTACTCCATTATCTTGTGAAGCTGTGGAAGATCAAAGTTTTGTTGAGCTGGAGGATGTGACTTACTTCACTTTTGACTGGAGTAATAGGCCTGCAAATCCAGAGAGTTGTAAGCAGGCTTGTCTTCAGAATTGTTCCTGCAAAGCTGCTTTGTTTAGGTATGGCTGGAATTCTTCTGATGGGTATTGCTATTTACCTTCTCAAGTTTTTTCA